AGGGAAAGGTTCTGAGGACAGAAATGAGCTGTGGGTAAGTGACATTTTCGGTATGTCATTGTGCGGTATTTCTGTGCTCTAAATATGTACTGATTTGTTAATATTCTTTTTTATAAGCACAATAGCTGACACTTTATGTTCGTTTTTCACAGGTTCTTCACAGTTTAGTGTGTAATGTTGTAAAGCATAAAGCATCTCAGAGCGGATACCCTTTATTAATCATCTGCAAGAACTTTCAGGTCATACAGTTTATCATTCCTCAAGAGAGCGACTGCCACGATGTTTACATTTCACTCTCACGTCTCTCCAGGCCAGGTGGGTCACCTAGCATGCATTTTGGCATTGTTTTAGGAATATACTGTGATTACAATATCATTGCAGCATTTGTGCATTTAATACAGTTTTCAAAAGTAATTAAGTAGAAATTATTTCTGTGTGCCAGGACATTGCTGTCATGATTTTGTTTTCTGTCTTGCAGAAAAATATGAGGAGTTGTATTGTTTTTCCTTCAATCCCAGTGTTGACAAAGCTGAAAGGGAGCACTCATGGGACTTTTTAGATCTGAAGGCTGAGTACAGTCGAATGGGACTTCCAAATAAGCTATGGCATGTCACCCCAATCAACCGAGAGTACAGAGTTAGTATATCACCAACCATCACTATGTAAACACAATCAATTTACTATGTAAGTGCTTGATTTTAACTTTTCTCCTTGTAACACAGGTGTGTGATACTTACCCAGCTGACTTGTTTGTGCCTAAATCCGTCACCCTACCTGTCATCGTAGGAAGCTCGAAGTTTCGTAGCAGAGGTCGATTTCCCACGTTGTCATACTACTGCAAGGAAAACCATGTGAGTCTGGCTGCACATCTGGCACATTCTCTCTGCAGTCGTAGTATTCATCTGCCTCTTTTAATGAGGCTGTGGAGAATTTTGTCCTGTCCTTTATATGTCCTTGCCTGCCAAATATTTTGTCATTGGATTGAGGAGTTCAAGTTTCAAGAACACAGTGTTCTTATATATAAAAATGCCTTATTTCTGATGAACCATAAATGTGATGCAGCTTGATTTTGCATTAAACTCCAGCTTGATTACAAAAAAAAGTGCAGACTACTCCAGCTTTTCACAGCGCAAACTTACAGTCAGTTCAACATTGAGTTGTAGGACATTTACCATGACAAGATACTAAATGTGTCATGCAGTATATGCGTGCATTGTGATTTACAGCAATAATGGATATTTTAAAAGCAAGGTCTAGCTCCTTCTGCACCCTCATGGGTTTGGCACTCTGTTAAAAGACATTTCATTTAATTGAGGTCAAATATTCCCCTTGGAGTTTTGTGTTTTCTTTTGGACACATGAATTCAAACCACATGGAGAAACTTGTGTGTGACTTCTACATAAGGATCATGCTGGTGATGCCCAAAGGGGTCAGTTATAGTTTAATATCTCCCCCGTTCATGGTTCGTTAACCCCAAAATATGATTAGAACGGTGTCTAAAAAAGTAATATTGCAAGATCAACCTTTAGAGTTTTATGAGGCCAGGGCCAAATTCTCATGAAATGCCCATTCCACAGAGAGGACAGTGTGATCTTCTGTTCTTTAAGTTTAATTTATTAATCGAGCGTGACAGGATCAGTCTGGGAATTACTCTGAGACTGTATGAATGCATTTTTAGTAGATTGAGCAGAATTTATTTTAAAAGAAATTATTAAAATATCATTTAGATTTTTTTGCAGTGATTTAAATAAAAAAATATATTTTAATAATTAAGTTAAAATAAAAATTTCTTATTTATTTTATTTTTTAAATGCTTTCCTCTTTCCCATTTGTTCAAAAACCTGAATGTATTTATCGAGCCAGGCTGGGAATTACTTTGAGACTGTACGATGCACAATTTTACTAGATAATTGGAAAATGTTTCTTTTCATTTTGCACCACTTTCACACTAAAGAAACACTGTACCACTAAACTATTTTGTCTGACACTTATTTGTCGTGCCTTATCTTGTCTAGGGTACCTAATGAACAAGGACCATTAATGGTGCCCATTCAAAAAAATAAAACATGACACCACAGGATGCCAACATATGCTAACACCTACTCATGTGATGTCTTTTTTTTTAGACCACGATATGTCGCAGCAGTCAGCCTCTTTCTGGCTTCAGTGCTCGCTGCCTGGAGGACGAGCAAATGCTGCAGGCCATCATGAAGTCTAATCCTGGCAGCAGATTCATGTATGTTGTGGACACAAGACCCAAGGTCAGTCCACTTAATATCAGTGGACCAGATAGCAGAATTACACATGAAAGACTCTTTATGTAAGACTCTCATGTTTTTCCAGCTAAATGCAATGGCGAACCGAGCTGCGGGCAAAGGCTACGAAAATGAGGACAACTACTGCAACATTAAGTTCCAGTTCATTGGCATTGAAAACATCCATGTGATGAGGAACAGTCAGCAGAAACTCATAGAGGGTATTGTCTCCAGCTTATTAAGTGAGAAAATGAATTTCACCTTATAAACCACTGTAGTAGATCCTTCTGTTAAGGTTTTAAAAGGAGGGTTTTGCTGTGGTGCCATTAACAGTTCTTAAAATAAACCGTTTTTCCTTAATGTGAAGAACATCTTAATATTCTGAAGAACCTTTTTCCACTAGAACGAACCTTTTGGAAAGGATCTTCATGCAACCATAGATGCCAAAACTGTTTTTGAGAGTGTAGACCAGCTTGAACCATTTGCAGCTCCCCTTCCGTTTTTTTTAGGAGATCTTCTCATAGTGCATTTAAGAAACCAAGACTTTAGACCACTTAGCATTTTATTGTCAATTATAAAGAAATTCTGCAATGAACCATTGATTGTACCGCAGGAGAGTTTCTTGGCCAAGCAGATTGTGTAGTAGGGGTGCTTTGAATCCATCTGGCTTTTATTCCTCGCCTATTTTTGTTTTGTTGACTTAACGATTGGAGACCCTTTTGCCCTGATTGAGAAAAGGAGGGCGTGAGAATGAAATCTTCCAGTGTTGAAGAAATAATAGCGGTACTGGGTGTGATAGCATTTTGACCCAAAAAACACTAGGGAGTCATCTGGTTGAATAATCAGAGATTACCCTTCCAGCAGAGAGACTGTGGCTATTTGAGATCTCATTACAACACGCATGATTCTTCCTAGAATGGCAGTTTCCTTGAAATACTGTAAAGTTAGTTTGGTCTCTGCCACCAAGAGTGACCGGGTTTGTCAGTATATTGGCTTGAGCCCTCATCTGGAGCGTTCTCATGGGACGTCACCAGCCCTTAAATACTCTTATCACATTTGAACTGTTGGCATATCAAAACTTTCAGTGCTCACAAGAAATGTTTATGTTGGTTTGGAGAAAAAGAAACAATGCCACTTTTAGAAATACAAATTCTTTTGGTTGTCATGATAACTAATGAGCCATAAGACAGGACTGTCATCAAGCCAATTTTTCAGTTATGCATATTTTAAGTACCATAAATAAAGAGGACACTCGCAGAGGACGCTACATATGAGTCACCAGCTTTCTTTGCAAAGCCAAAGTAAATATTGAGCACTTTAAAGAAGCTACGGATATCCAAAAATATTCCTCACATCAGTTCCCTATTGTAAATTCTCAATAAAGCTCCTGGTTTTCATCATAGTATATATAAACGTAACTTTAGCAAGGAATTTGTCTGGATCTTCTCAAAATGTCTGTTGTCGTTGTTTTAGTTTCGGCACTGCGTTCTCCCTCCATGGGAGAATTTCTAACGGGGCTTGAAAATTCAGACTGGTTGAGACACATCAAATCGATCATGGAGGCGGGACTCTTCATATCTAAGGTAAAAGATCTCTTTGAGAGTTCTTCAGCCCATGCATGGGTGCTCTGGAACTGATTTCATGTTCTCACGTACACAGGCCGTGGCAGAGGAAGGGGTCAGCGTCTTGGTTCATTGTTCTGATGGCTGGGATAGGACGGCTCAGGTGTGCTCTGTGGCCAGTGTGCTTCTGGATCCTTACTACAGGACCCTCAAGGGGCTGATGGTAAATGAGAACAGGCTACAGAGTACAGCTTGTAAACTTTACTCCAAAAGTCACAGAGTTCACATTGTAAGAAGATGCATAACTGACAGGCTGCCAGTGTGGGTCTTACTCATTTAATTGTACGGATCGACTGGCTGGTTCTCTGCTGGAGAGGTTTCATTCAATAGCCGGGCTCAGTTTGGAAAATCATCTCTTACTTCTTTGAAATTTACCCTCATATGGGGTCAACATAAAAAGAAGAACCTACTTTCTAGCACAGATTAGTTCTGTCTGGGAATTCAGTCTCATTTCCTGATACACTGGTAGCAGAAGGTACAGTATGTGCAGATGCATAGAATGATTTTGTGACCCATTTACAAAGATGAAGTGTGTCATTTAATGTGCACGCATCACTAAACAGATCTAATAAAATTATTACTTGTTTTCAAGCAGTTCCTGCCTTTTATTGATCAACTAAGCAAGATGATCAGGATGCTCAAACAAATAGATCAATGTTGTGATAGTGCCAGTGTTTGCACTTTTTGAGGAAGTGAGCTTACAAATTACATACTTATAGTTGTCTCTGCTTATTAAACTGGGATATGAAGTAGCTTAACATCTGCAATTGACATTTTACCTTTAAACATTTCACAAGTACTGTTTGGGGTTGGTAGGATTTCTTAATGTTTTTTTAAAAGAAGCCTCTTATGCACACCAGCATCATTACTCCAGTCTTCATTGTCACATGATTCTTCAGAAATCATTCAAAAATGCTGATTTGGTGCTCTATAAACATGTTTATTTTATGTTGATTTTTTTTTTAAATCTTTGGTGAATAGAAAGTTCAAAAGAACAGTGTTTATTTGATTATGAATGTCTTTACTGACACCTTTGAGCTATTTAATTCATCCTTGCTGAGTAAAAGTATTCATTTCTTTTAAAAAACAATCTTACCAATCTTTAATTTGAATGGTATTTTAAGTAAAATCCTGTTTTATTTTATGTGCAGGTGCTGATTGAGAAAGACTGGGTTTCTTTTGGACATATGTTTTCACACAGGTTGGCTTCCATCATATCATTTACAGAGGTTTTCTGATGTATTAACTCAAAAGTGCTCATCCTAAATGTAATTTACTTTATGGCATTTCAGATGCGGTCATCTCATTGGAGAGGCAAAGGAAGTGTCACCTGTCATAGACCAGTTCCTGGAATGTGTATGGCAGCTTATGGAACAGTTTCCCTGTGCTTTTGAGTACAATGAGAAGTTTCTGATCAGCATCCACAACCACATCTACTCCTGTCATTATGGCAACTTCATTTGTAACAGCCAGAAGGAGAGGAAGGATCTGTGGTAATTGTCCTGTTTATTTGATGACATGAATGACAAAACTTAATTTGTTGTTAAAATTGATGGTACTGCGGATGTCAGTATTCTCTGCATCTGTTGAACATGTTTTATTGCATGTGTTTTTTTCTGTAGTATCAAAGAGAAAACTCATTCCATGTGGCTTCATTTATGGGAGAAGAAGCTGGATTTCATGAACCCTCTGTTCAAACCTGATCAGAGCCAGAATCAGGGACTTCTAAGGCCCAGTACTGCCCCCTACTGTTTTAAGTATGTCAAAACATGTAAAATAGTTTTTTCTTCTCCTCTATAAAAAATAAGCGGATAGTTTGATTCTCTTTCTCGTGCATAATTTGTCTCTTTAGTCCTAAGTATCCACCTATAATACGTCAATACAGCTATTACAGAGTAACTGATATATGGTGTTTATGTTTGTTTAACTGCAAAAAATGTTTGTCTTTTCCGTGTTTAGATACTGGAGAAGACTGTATAATCGCTTTGATCGTGAGTTGCACCCACGTCAGTCTGAGCTAGATTGTCTGATGACTGTAAAAGAGGAAACGCAACAACTTGAGGAAGAGCTGGCTCTCTATGAGCAGGTAAAATGCCAGATATTTGCCTACAATGTTTATTTTTCATTGGTTTTTATAATTTGCTTTGAATCTGTTTTAAATTGGATCATCATGTTTACTTAAAGTAATAGTTCACCCAAAATTTTAAATTTACTCACCCTCAGGTCATCCAAGAAGTAGATGAGTTTGTTTTTGTTTTTTTATTGAAACGGATTTGGAGAAATTTACATCACTTGCTCACCAGTGGACCCTCTGCAGTGAATGGGTGCCGTCAGAAGGAGAGGCCAAACAGCTGATTAAAACTTCACAATAATCCACAATCTCATTCTGACGCCACATATTCACTACAAAGGGGTAAAGCTGAATTTCTCCAAATCTGTATAGATGAAGAAACAAACTCGGAGATTGAGTAACTTTTCAGAAACTTTTAATTTTTTGATGAACTGTTCCTTTAAATATGCGTGTTCTACAAATGCAGAATTTTCATCTACACGAAGTATGCCTTTTTAACTTCAGTGATCAAGTATTTTCCCCCTGCAGAAAATGGCTGTTCTGGATAAGGAGCGTGCAAAAACCCTTTACATGCAAAAGGGTGTATTGGACAGCAAGCAGGCCCTTTGGTCGTTACCTTTAGATACAAGCCTAGCCAATACTCCTCAGGATTACATAGGTGGTGCTCCCAATGTTTTCACCTTACAACAAGGAGAGAGAGAAAGAGCAGAGCTTTGCCTGTTTGGAGACCAAACAAAAAGCTCTGATGCTGACAATAGTGACCAGGAGTCAGGAGTGGCAGATTTCAGCTCCCATTCTTCTGGTGAAGAGTCCTTGCCAAGTGAGGACAGCGTGAAGGATCCTGACTCAGATGAGACTGGCCCCAACAGAGCGTGAACAAATACAACAGTTTGCAAGAAGAACAAGCTATAGCATCTACTGTATGTGAGCAAGATAGGAGTGTGGGTATTTCAAATTATGCAAAGATATTGGACAATGTGGACATGTGTCTCATGTGTCTGGCGTTACAGAAGCATGTCTTTCTGTTTGAATGTGTAATACAGATGTACAACCTATATAGAGTTATGTTTTATTCTAGTATATAGTTATAATTTCTCATTAGCATGAATTCTTTCAAGCATTAAATACTTGTGTGCAATAAACGATCTGATCTTAATTTTTTGCACACTAACATGAATGCATGAAAATTCAGTTTGTTGTGAAATTAATGATATGTACATTTCTTCAGGTGTGCTTTAGAAGTAACGTTTACTTATTTAAAGCTATTTATTACTTAGCAGATTTGGTTGGTCCTTGGATAGTTTGGATAGTGTACAACTTCTAAAACTATAATTTTGGTGCATATTGTATAAGTTGTGCACTTTAAACTGAGCCTGGCACATGCACGGAACCAAAAGAAACCAGACCAAATACAATATTTTCCATTTAATGCAGCAAAAAGAATATAATGCTAATAAAATACTCATGTATACATTTAGGAAATTAATGTTCTCTTAAATGATTTTGAAGGAATAATGGAGACAATTCTCAGATTTAGGTCAGTTTAGATCCATATTGAAGGTTTGCTCACCTATTATCATGTCTTAACCTCTCCCTTTGTCACAAGGTGTGTAATGTTGATCTACTTTAAAATAAAGGCAACATTACAAGAAACAAACATTTCTTGAATTTGACTGATCTAGTTTTATCAAATGACCAGGTGGTTGTGATTTATTTATTCAATTTTTATTTTATTTCATTTTTATTTATTTATTTGTAATTGTTTTGTGGGTGTTGGGGCAATGTAATCACAGCTATGTGAATATGACATTATTGTGTTTATCCCAAAATATATATATATATTAAATTGTAACAAAGAACACAAGTTTTACAGGCAAAGAGACAAACAAAACATTCTAAGAGGGTTACAATACATGGAATTCTGAAATGTTCTAAATTGTATTATAATATAACACCAAAGAAGGGTCTTACAAGCAGTCAGATGTTTCGAGTTCTTTAAAGAATACATATAAACGTCACCTTGAAAATAAAACAGGTATTCGTTTAAAAATGCACATTTATGAACGTAAAATCCCACAAGGTGTTCAAAGGTCACGCGTCGACGTCGCGCTGGAGCGCTGTGATGTAGTTCAGAGGTGGCAGCTGGTTGTTGATATCGGTGTTAGCCCAATAAAACTATATAAAAGTAAATAGCAAGGTCCCAGCCCTTTCTAAACAAGGCGATTTTGTATTACAGAAGCAGTATACGCTTTAAGTGTAACTGCCTTGTTTGAGGAAAGGTAAGTCCTGACAGAAAAAGTGAACTTTGATCATAATAACAGGACAAACTTTTGTGGCTAGGCTAATAGCTAACACTAGCCACATACACAAATAAACACTCACGTCGACACCAAACAGCCTCATTCACATCTTACAAGAGGGATTGTTTACAAAAGCTGACTGTAGGCATGATTTCAGGACGTTTGCGGGGTTTATTTTAGTTGTTTAGCAGATGTGCTAGCTAGTGCTGCTAACATGTCAACCTACAATAAATTATTTGGACATTTAATAGCTTATGGACGTGTAAAACAACTTATTATAATAGGTTAGAAAGGCACTGCAATGGACATGTATGTTTACAAGCATGTTTTTGGTACACGACCAATCTTCCCACTTCTTTTGTTTGGCATATTGAATGCTGCTTCTGTTAGCCTGCGACCGTTTTGTCTCATCTGGCACTTGTTGTAATGTTTAGTCACAGTACAACAGGTTTTTTTTGTGCGTGATATGATTATGTCTGAATCGTTGTCCTTTCAATGCTGTCATGGAGCAAGACTAGTAGATGAGTAGTCATGTTTACTAAGACTAAAGTGGAAGCATATGAAGTATCGCAATCTCTCCTCTGTTTACAGTCCTCATGATGCTGACTGGAGTGATAAGGATGAACTAATCTAATATCTAGTTTGAAGTCAGTAAACAAACGACTAATGAGTTACCAAAGTCAACCAGCCAGGCCATGACAGAAGAATTATCCACAAACCATAGATAAATGCATATTTGAAAATATATGTGGACCTGTTATTGACCATTTTAGAGAATACAATTTGGTGCAAAAATAAACAGTACAAAATTTGGAAATAAAAAAAAAAGTTTGGATATTTACTTCCATTTACTCTGCAATTAGAAGTATGTTTTTTGCACATTTTTAAATGGTCTTCTTTTTCCAAGTTTATTTTGTTACCTTTTTGATTTGATTATGGTTTAGTGACAATAAAATGATTTTATTTAAATCAGCAGCTTTCTGATTGTCTGATTGTGATGGGCGTTTTTTCCAGGTAAAAAGAGGGAACAAGCAATTATTATTTCATGAGAATATCCCCTGGGGAGTGTTTTTTTTATTTATTTATTTGGTTTTGATGCCGTGAACCTGGAACTATGCCCGCAGCCACTGTGGATCATAGTCAAAGAATATGTGAGGTTTGGGCCAGTAACCTGGATGAGGAGATGAAGAGGATCCGACAGGTGACCCGAAAATTCAACTATATTGCAATGGTGAGTTTCAAACTCTTAATGCTTTATTCAAATCAGTTCAGTTTCATTTCTCAGATGTGATCTAGAACTGACTGTCATTTTCTAAGCTATGAAATCAGATCCATATGTTCAGACAGTGCAGTGTTAATATCCGGTAGGTCTATGTCAGTTGCCATAGTAATGACTTAAGTGTCAGCCTGATGGCAAGAGACATAAAAGAGCTTCTGTCATTGTGGAAAGAGAGGACAGGAAAAATGGGAGAATTTCATTCATGCATCAGACAACAACAAAAAAAAAAAGGTAAAATGCATTACAGCAAATCATATCGAGTCACTAATTGCCTGTTTGTTGTGCATATTTAATACACAATGAATAATGTGAGCAAAATGAGTGAATTTTGACAGCTGTAGACACTACTACTCTTTGTGAATGACATTAGTCACATTGCATCCTGAATAATAAAAAAATAAACTAAATTGAAATCTAGCCTGACTGTTCCAGTGTTGTTACTGTTAATTAAAATTAAAGCAATTGAGAATAATTTTTGATAATTGAAAAAAAAAAATAAATAAATAAATAAATAAAATATATATATATATATATATATTATAATAAAAAAAAAATATATATATATATATA